AGCAGTAGTGGGGAATGTATCACTTATTCCACCGATGGCTTTCAAGGTGATCATGCCAGTATTTAGTAGGGACAATTTGTAATCCTATGCCAACTTGACTCTAAGATTTCTTGAGAACTTTTAATTACCATGGTTGGTCTACTAACTCAGTCCATGGTATTTGCAGAGTCCAGTTGTCGGAGATTTCTGGATTCCTTCCACGCCTTCATAGCTGCAAAACACACATAATTCCTGCTATACATCACCCTACCTGACATTCCCTTACTTTGCAAATCTCCTATCCTTATAACCCCAACCTTATAACCCTTCTTAGTATTAGTCTTGCCTTCCAAATCCATCTTGCATTACGAATGCCAGACTGATCTTTTCAAAAGACCACTCACATTAACCATGTTATCCATACTTGTACTTAGAAATTTAGATTTTTCTGCCTTTTTTCTCCATGATCAGCCCATATCCTCTCTTCCAGCAAAGTTGATATTCTTTTATATCTTTTACTCATTCTGGCTTCTCTCTTCTTCCCTATCATGTTCCCTCCCCACCCCTAAAACCTTCTCTTCCTACCCATCTAAAATGGCCCTTTCCTCTCTATATCCAAACTGCATCCAACTTCAGAGTCTGATTGAAGTCTAATTTTTTTCATGAAGCCTTCTCTAACTTTTCCAGAAATAGAATCAGAGTCAGTATTTAAATTTTTTTGTTCTTGAAGTGTGTTATGTTTAAATTCCTTAAGGACAGGGACCTTCTACATCTTTGGCTAATGTTTTCTTTGGTTTCTAGCACAGATCATGCCACATAAATCCTCAGTCAATAATTTGCTGATCAGTTATTTTCCCTCAACCTATAAAAAGTTGACTTTTTTGTAATCTAGTTTTTTGTTTTTGTTTTGTTTTATTTTTTCTATGCTAGGTGGATGGAGAACTTGAAGCACTTCTAGAAAACGGTGAAGGCCTTTCTGATAAAAACCAGGTGCTCAGTTTATCAAGGCTGATGGTTAGAATTGAGACTTTGGAACAGAAACTTACCTGTCTCAAACTCATACAGGTGATTATTTGATTTGATTTCTAGTCTAAAGTATGAACAGGAATATTTAATCAGTTACCTCAAGTCAAAATAAAGGGATTAATTCTTACGGGAGTAGGTGCATTTCTTCCTATTTTTGATATTTGTAAATGATTTTTTTTGAAGTGTGGATATATCAGAAATTTGTTGATTATAAAATAGCAATTATATCCAAGTAATATGTGTCTGGGACAGAACGTCTTAGGTTTTCCCAGGATTTAAAACCATGTGTTTATTCATTACACCATGCTGCCTCTTTCTTTTTGGACAGAATGACAAAATAAAATCTAAAGGAAAAAATTAATTTTGAGACATTTGCATTGTTTCAATTTATTGGTAGAGATGGTAAAATACCAACAATTAATTTCTTAGCCACTTAAAATCAAAGTTATTTTTACCTTCATATATTTCTTTATTTCAGTGTTTTATTTAGAATGCAGTTTTTCCCAAAGTGCATTTTTATGACATTATCATAATATTGTAACTTTTTATATCTAAATCATTTTTGTAGTATTGATTCTATGTGAAGTGACCGTGGTTTTGGCAGATAACAGTAGGAAGGTTCCTGTATGTTCTACTTTGACTTTTCCTTTTCTTTATTTTAAAGAACACTCAATCTCAGTCCTGCTTAAAGTCCTTCCTAGAATGCCATGGGCTATCTCTTCTGTGGATTTGGATGGCGGAACTAGGTGATGGTCGAGGAAACAATCAGAAACTACAGGAAGAGGTCAATAATTTTTATTTATTTAATATTTGACTCTCTTTTAGTTTTTTATAATAACTTTTATGGAGGTCTTTGCATGTGACACAATTTTGGTAATTTAACATCTCCATAATAATTAGGTGTGGAGGTAAGAATATAATCCATTATATACATTTGGGAGCATATGAAATACTATTTATTAATGATAAACTCATACATCAACTTTGCCAGCAATACAAAACCATAACATCTTATTTTTCTTGTGTAATAACTTTTCTTGCTAATACCCTACAAGTAAAGATTTTATATAATGAGGTCTTGTCAATCAGTGATTGGGAGGGCAAAGGGGGATTCTGTACCTATTATGTTTATTGGGATTGGAAATTTTTGGTGAGAGTATTTCCTCTACCAAAGTAGATTAGTACTTGTTTCAGCCTTTATAGCCTGGGGAAAATAAGAGGTTAAATGACTTGGACAGAATTATATAACTAAAATATGATAGATCTGGGACTTGAACCCAGGTGTTTCTAACTCCGGTGTTGGTTGTGTACCTACCATACCACATTTCTTATGAAAAATAGTACCATTATTCAATGAGGAATGTACTTTGGTTTCTGTATAAGGGGGAAAATATGGAAGCTCATATAACCTGATTTGGCTAGGAAACACTTTAGAGATTATCTAGTCCAAACCATTTAATTTTATACTGTAAGAAACTGAGGATTGGTAATGTAATTTGGCAAAAGTCACACAGCTAAGCCTGGAAACCAGTTCTTTTTCTTTCTGGGGTGGGAGAAGAAAAACATATATTTTGAAATTTTTCTTTTTTGAAGGCAAAGAGTTTGAGTTCATTGTATTGCATAGCACCTTAGTAAGAGATTAGATATTTTGGATGATCCCTTTAACTAGCTTGCATCCTTGTGTTTCAGTCTTGATAGATTTTTATAGTCCAGTTTTCCTTTCATTCTATAGGAAACTAATGCTGTATGTGTTATATACTTGAACTTCTGCATAAGCTAGTGGCAAAAAAAAAAAAAAAAAAAAA